AAAGCATCATAGGTAAAGGTAAAGGTACCCCTACCTGTACGGGCCAGTCTTGCCAGACTCTGGGGTTGTGCGCCCATCTCACTCAAGAGGCCGGGGGCCAGCGCTGTCCAGAGACACTTCCGGGTCACGTGGCCAGCGTGACAAAGCTGCATCTGGCGAGCCAGAGCCGCACACGGAAACGCCATTTACCTTCCCGCCAGTAAGCGGTCCCTATTTATCTACTTGCACCCGGGGGTGCTTTCGAACTGCTAGGTTGGCAGGCACTGGGACCGAGCAACGGGAGCGCACCCCGCCGCGGGGATTCAAACCGCCAACCTTTCGATTGGCAAGCCCTAGGCGCTGAGGCTTTTACCCACAGCGCCACCAGCGTCCCTTAAAGCATCATACAAAGTAATAAAAAACCAAGCTAGTTTCAGACAATAATCAAAATGCATCAGAAGCACATTTAGAACTGCCAGGCAAAAAGGTTCCTTTTTAACCAGGCATTCGGTTGCTTTTGATATGCCCTTTTTAAATGGGGGGGGGGGTTGGGGGGTATTGGGTTGTTTTATATTTTGATTTTATTCTGTGAACTGCCCTGAGACCTCCAGGTATCTAAATTCAAATAATAATAAATAATAAGTCCAAGCGATTTCCTGCTTCTCCCATAGTTTTCTGTTTGCCCCACCACATTCCACAGGAAAACCTGCTCTTTAGTGCTGAATTGGAGCGAACATCAGTCTGTGGAAAATGCAGTTGACATTTGCTCCAATTCAGCGGTAAAGAATGGGTTTCCCCTGGGCAAATTGATGGGGAAAGCTGAAGTCTGGATGAGCTCTGCACGGGGATTCACACCCTGCTCTAACAGGTCCTAGTCCAACATCCTAACTACAGCCACACTGCCCAATCTTGATCACTGCTTTGACCCAAACTGTCTTGCCACGGCTACTGGTATTTGGTTTCATTGGATCCTAAGCCTATTTATTGAGCACATAGCTGAATTGATATTAGAAACAAAAATGTCCTTGTGGCTCAGAGCTCATATTCAACAGCAACATCAAGTCAGTACTGAGAAAAAACATACCAGTAATCCAAACATACAGAAAATATTCTACAAATTCAGCATGTGTACATTTTGAATCGGGGAATTCTTGGCACCAGGTTTTTATTTTTATTTTTTTGCTGCCCTCTTTCTAGGTTGTAATTTCCCCAATACATTGCTCATTTTTCTGCACTCTTTTTTTTATTCTCATGTATTTTTTTGTGCAGTTCAGAGCATGTTAGTGGGATAGTCACAGGCTTGAGAGCCGAACGACTTGTTATGTGTGGGAGATCTATTCTCCTGACAAGTTGATATTTACTTCAGAGAAAATATACAGGGCATCAACATTTGATCGGAGAAGGGAGGAATCTCCTCCCCCACCCTCCAGCAACAACCGCTTGACCACAAGAGTCTGGGGGTGGGGGTCTTTTCTCATCCTTTCTGCAAAGGTGAGATTTCCCCCACCTGGCCATTTCTCCCCACCTGTGAAAATGTGCTCTCTCCATTAATGTACATTAGCTGTGTACAGGTGTGGAGCTTCACATTCAAATTATACAGGGGTCAGCAAACTTTTTCAGCAGGGGGCCAGTCCACTATCCCTCAGACCTTGTGGGGGGCCGGACTATACTTTGGAGGGGGGAAATGAATGAATTCCTATGCCCCACAAATAACCCAGAGATGCATTTTAAATAAAAGCACACATTCTACTCATGTAAAAACACACTGATTCCCAGAACGTCCGAAGGCTGGATTTAGAAGGCGATTGGGCCGCATCCGGCCCCTGGGCCTTAGTTTGCCTACCCATGACATACATGACCTTAGAGAATAATGTAACCTCTCACGCACCACCCACTTTCCATATTGTGTGACCCCCCCCACACACACCTTTTATCGCACCTTGCAGGGGCATTTAGCACAGAATGGCATTATAAACCACAGCACTGTATTCTGTAGGTAAAAGGTAAAGTACCCCTGTATGGTTAAGTCCAGTCAAAGGCGACTATGGGGTTGTGGTGCTCATCTTGCTTTCAGGCTGAGGGAGCTGGCGTTTGTCCACAGACAGCTTTCCGGGTCATGTGGCCAGCATGACTAAACTGCTTCTGGTGCAAAGGAACACCATGTCGGAAACCGGAACACACGGAAATGCCGTTTAGCTTCCCACCGCAGCTGTACCTATTTATCTACTTGCACTGGTGTGCTTTTGAACTGCTAGGTTGGCAGGAGCTCGGACAGAGCAACGGGAGCTCACTCTGTTGTGGGGATTCGAACCACCGACATTCCGATCAGCAAGCCCGAAAGGCTCAGTGGTTTAGACCACAGCAACACCAGTATGCCCCAAGAGCAGCTATTGTGTTTGTAGAAAATGCCAGTAGAGTACAGCCTTGCAACAGAAAAGGACCTCAGTGTAGATTGGGGAAATCTGGCAGAGCCATTACCTAAGCCCCAGGACAGAATGACTGTCACTAAGACAGGGGTGGCCAACTCCCAAGAGACTGTGATCTACTCACAGGGTTAAAAACTGGCAGTGATCTACCCCATTTTGGGGGTTCCAGGTCAAAGTTGTTGAGCTTCTTTGGGGGAGCCAGTGATCTACCGGTGATCTACCACAAATGTCCAGTGATCTACTGGTAGATCACAATCTACCTGTTGGACATGCCTGCACTAAGAGACCTAAAATAAATAAATAAATAAAGATTCATCATGCAATTGTGTCATGCTTTATGATGAATGTCTGAAGCACAATCAAAACAGGTACTGAATAATAAAGTTTATATTTTACCTTCTACACGGGTTATGTTTCTCTTTTTCTTTTTCTTTTTCTTTTTCTTTTTCTTTTTCTTTTTCTTTTTCTTTTTCTTTTCTCTCTTGTATTTACGTCTCACAATGTGTAGTGCACATATAATTATGTTTTTGAACTTTCAATAAAGATGTTAAAATAAAATATCTCCAGGCAATCTAATGATCTCCAGGCAATTTCTCCAACTAGGCAAAGCTCTTTCCAGACTTTTTAAAATTTTTATTTATGCTTTTCAGGTTTATAGCTTTCACTAATTTTACAATTACTTTAACATTTCAAAACTTGACCTCCTTCCCCCTCTTTCTGCAGTTCCTTAAATTTATTTTTAATATATTCTGCATATCCAAATTAACTTAATTTGCTCAGTTTTTCATCTACTTTATTTACTATATACTCTTATGAAATGGCAGGTTATTAATAATCCTGCTAATGTTCTTATCTGTTTACAATTGATCTGTAAATATTCAAAAAACCATTTCCATTCTTTTATTAAAAGTTTGTTATCTTGATTTATTATTCTTCCAGCAAGTTTTGCCATTTTACCAGTAAGTTTCGATATAGCTCTTTCCAGACTATTAGTCAATTTTTAAAAACTGGCTTATAAACCTTGCCAGGGGGAGGATAATTGCACTTGAGACTTGGGCGGTATACACATTGTACATTTCAAAGCGCTTTTTCAAAAAAAAACCTGGGAATTGTGCTTGCGACGATGGGGTTGTGGCGCTCATCTCACTTTCAGGCTGAGGGAGCCGTTGTTTGTCCAAAGACAACTTTTCGGGTCATGTGGCCAGCAGGACTAAACCACTTCTGGCACAACAGGACACCGTGACGGAAACCAAAGCACACAGAAATACCGTTTACCTTCCTGCCACAGCAGTACCTATTTATCTACTTGCACTTTGACGTGCTTTCGAACTGCTAGGTTGGCAGGAGCTGGGACAGAGCAACGGGAGCTCACCCAGTCGCACAGATTCGAACCACCAACCTTCTGATCAGCAAGCCCAAGAGGCTCAGTGGTTTAGACCACAGCGCCACCCGCATCCCTTATCTGTAGGGAGTGCCAGTGTTGCAAGGCTTAGGGGCAGAAGCAGCAAGAGGAACCCCATATGTTGAAGTTGTAGTTGTTGTTTAGTCGTTTAGTCATGTCCGATACTTTGTGACCCCATGGACCAGAGCACGCCAGGCACTCCTGTCTTCCACTGCCTCCCGCAGTTTGGTCAAACTCATGCTGGTAGCTTCGAGAACACTATCCAACCATCTCATCCTCCGTTGTCCCCTTCTCCTTGTGCCCTCAATCTTTCCCAACATCAGGGTCTTTTCCAGGGTCTTTTCCAGGGAGTCTTCTCTTCTCGTGAGGTGGCCAAAGAATTGGAGCCTCAGATTCACAATCTGTCCTTCCAGTGAGCACTCAGGGCTGATTTCCTTCAGAATGAATAGGTTTGATCTTCTTGCAGTCCATGGGACTCTCAAGAATCTCCTCCAGCACCATAATTCAAAAGCATCCATTCTTCGGCAATCAGCCTTCTTTATGGTCCAGCTCTCACTTCCATACATCACTACTGGGAAAACCATAGCTTTAACTATACGGACCTTTGTTGCAGTGGCCTGGCGTGGGTTGTCAGCACCCGGGGCAAGGCAAGTAATTTGCACCCCCTAACCCGTGGATTTTAGCAGGGGGCAGAGAGCTGCGAGTGCGAGCACGCCCCCCCAGATGTTGCGCCCGGTGCGGCCGGCCCCCCCTGCACCCCCCACGCTACGCCACTGCTTTGTTGATGTAATGTATATTATGGTTATTTTACATCTCTAGATCTCAGGCCGGTTCACAAATGTAAAATCACAATATAACCAAACCCAAAACCAACGTGCCTATTATTTTAATGGAGGGGCAGGTAATCTAAGTGACCCATCGCTTCCTGCAACAAGGGGCACTTCATCTCCCTCCGATTACCGGGGTGGGAATCAGGCTCCCTCCTCCAGTGGCGCAGCTGCGCGAATCCAGCAGGAGGCGCCCCACCCCTGCTCAAGGCGCAACCCACTGGCAGGATCCCGGTGCGGTTCCTGAGCTGGGTGTCTCGTCCGGACTACGTGACTTGGGCCACATCCAGCCCTTTGGGCGTTAGCGGGCTATATAAAGGGGAAGCTACGTCCTGCTGAACTTCAGTGCGGATCAAGCCAGCCAGGTTATCATCGCGGGTGCGTATGTGTTGCACCTGAACGGACGTATTAAATGGGGAAGGGGGAGCGCCAAGGGATGCGGACCCCTCTAGCCCTGAGTGGTACCCAGGATGCTGGCTGATGATGATGGACCTTGCTTTTTTCTCCCAGGTGTTCTCACCATGGCGAACAAGGGATTCTTCCAGCTGCTGATGAAGAAGAAGGAAGTAAGTTTGAGAGAAGATGCAGGGATGGTGGTGCCAGACGGATGGAGTCTGGCCAAGGAGAAGCTGGAGCATCCTTGGGATGGACGGATAAATCCTTCTCCTTGCGAGGAGGCGCTGGGAAAAGAGGCTTTTGGCTAAGCATCTGCCCCTCCTCCCTCGCCATCCTTTCCAAGCGCATCTTTGGAGAGCAGAGACGGAGCTTAACTTTTAAGGATTTGCTTATGCATCGCCCAGACCTTGCTGGAAAAAAAATGGGGGGGGGGACACCCCTGACTTTCTTCTGTCTTCCAGCTTATTCCTCTGATCGGGTTTGTGAGTTTTGCTGGATTCGGAGCTACCTTCGCAGGCTGGAACGCGCTGAGAAAACCCGATCTGATGTAAGCTCATCCTTCAGCTTAACTGAACTTTGAATTCGGGAGTTTTATTTCCAAGTAGATGTGTTTTAAACGGGGCTATAAGATCCTGTTTCGTAGAAATGCACTAATTTTTTATTTAAAGAAACGTTTAAAAATACAATTAATTACGGGATGTCATTTCTGATCATTAAATTTCATTTTTAGTTTAAGCAAGTCTGACCCAGAACCGTGGCAATATGTGGATCCTACCAAACCCCAGAAGGTAATGAAAATACTTGACCAAGAAATGAATTATTATAGGGTATTTAGTCCCTAAGTAAATGGTGGGGTTTTATACAGAACTATTAGCAGGGTGTGTGGGGTGTGTTGTTGTTTTTTAAAGAATTGCTAATGTGTCAACAGAATTACAGAATTGTAGTATATAGAGGAGCATTGAGTTAAAGTATTAACTCAGGCACTATTTGCACCTGTGTTTCAAAATTCTGCAACTTATTTCGAGTGGAAATTTTGGTTATGGAAAGCGTAAACTAATTGGTAAATTACTAGCCTCATAATAATTTTCCCATAAGCCTTGTTTGAGCAAAGGAATCTTGCACCTGCCAAAAACAAAAGAAGAACATTAAAATTGATTGGAATTGGTTTTTTGTTGCTTTTATTAAAATTTTCTCATAAATTTAAACTGCTCTGGCAACACAGTATTTTTTTTTTTTTTGTAATATAATTTAGTATTCTATCAGCTTCCAAAAATTTTGAGTCACTTCTCCATTAAGAAAATGATCAGGGTGCCTGCTCCTTCTTCCTTTAAAATAGAGGACACAATCCAGAAAAAAATAAGCACCACGTAGCATGTACATTGCTCTTTCCCATTCTTTTATTTTAATAAAGCTGCAATCCTAATCCCTCTTACATGAGAATAAACCTCATTAAAATGCAAGAAGACATACTTCTGCATAGACAAGGATAGAATTGCACTGTAAGAATGCTCTCTAACATTAATGCTACTCAGAATAGATTCATTTATGTCAGTGAATCTACTTGTGAGTATGACCTAGGTGGAAATCACCCTTTAGCCAAATATACTCTTTTGTTTTTATTATGCTCTGAGCAATTTGTTCTTTTATTTTGTACAATTGATGGCTTTTGGCTAAATAATAAAGATCTGGACCCAATGCCACATTTAATGTTTGTGAACTGCAATGTGATCGTTCTTGATGAAGGGCAGTTTAAAAGTGCGATAAATCATGCTCATAATCATGACAAATATTTACATTCCGGTGCTATTTTTCTAGAAAAAACGGGTGCCAGAACTCACCATGAACACCTCCCTTGCTCTCTTATAATGGCAATGGCTGAAAAAAAGCTTTGCATCTAGTAAATATATAGTTTATACGATGACAATTAAGTGCATTTATTTGTCCCTTAATAAAAATAGTCTCAAAGTGACTTAGCAACAAGATAAAATAGAAAAAGGTAAAATAAATTAAAATCCACATTTTTAAAGGACTACTATGCAAAATGCTCAACTGCTCATCTGAATAATACAATAAGGACAATGGCTTGCTTCTACAGTTAGCTGCCCGTGTAATGAAAATCATGAATGTACAACATAACCAGTATTTGGGGAGAAATTGCTACGTGATAAGCTTTGAGTTTGGGTTGGGTTTGTTTTAACACTTTGCTCTTTTCCCCTGTTTTTGTCTTAAAATGCCTGGTAGCATCTAACAATCAACCAGCAATGGAAGCCCATAGAAGAGCTGGAGACAGTTCGAGAAATGACGAAGCGATGAGGTGTCACCCCCTCCAAACGACACTCTATGAATCTAGTGGAATCATTTCTGCACAAACTAGATTATCGAAACCAGTGTGCGGAAATGCTTCTGCTACATTTTTAGGGTCTCCCTCCAATTTTTTGGACTCTGGATTAAGGACTTTTACTGTTGGCCTTAGTAAGTTACCGTGTATACATCCACACAGTCCAAAGACAAAGGTTGGCTCACATTTGCGACAGCCACGTTTGCTTTGAAGCACTGTGTCCGACGATCTATATGCTGTCCCCTTGTGAACTTTGAAAAGAGTTGTCTTATTTTTCTCCGAAATAATGCTGTAATATATATTTTCAATAAACCTGGAATCGAAATTTGAAGTTAGTACAGTAAACGGAATTTCCTTTTCAGTTCGTAGGGGGTATACACAGCTTTCACCTCGAGCAAACATACCATAATATGCTAAAGTTCAGGATTTGGTCTGGTAGCTCTTACACTGTTTCCATTGGTCATGCAAACACAGCCTTGAGCTAGGAAGCTAAGCACACTTACCCAGAAATGTGTTCCAACCAGTGCTTTTTTCGGGGGGGGGGCGCATACACCTAAACATTTTGTGAATCGTTGTACTTTTGTCCATTTACTGTATTTATTTTCCCTGATTTGAACTATAAAATGGTGGTTTTCTTGGGTCAAAATGAGAGTACCCCTAAACATTTTTTAAGGAAAAAAAGCACAAGTTCCAAGACAAATGTTTTCTTCATATTTTGACTTCATATTTGCAACTGCTGTACTCAAAGGCTGCCTCTCTGCATTTGAACCAACCAGGACCCTGCAATCAGTGCTTTTTTTTCTTTAAAAAAATGTTTAGGGGTACTCTCATTTTGACTCTAGAAAATCACCATTTTATTGTTCAAATCGGGGAAAATAAATACAGTAAATGGACGAAAGTACAAAGATTCTCAAAATGTTTAGGGGTATGCATACCCCTGTGCCCCCACGAAAAAAAAATTCCCTGCAATCATCATCTGAAGCCCTTCAAGAGGAACCCCTTCATGAGAGGTTTGGAAACTGGCAACACGATAACAGGCCTTTTCTGTGGTGGCTCCCTATTTGTGAAATGCTCTCTCCCGGGACGCTTGCTTGGCACCATCCTTACATTAGGCGCCAGGCAAAAAAAATTCTCTTCAACCAGGCATTGGGCTGTTTAACAGTCTATGGCTTTTTAAATGTAGGAGTGAGGTTGTTTTGTTTTTGTTTTATTGTGCATTTTGTGTTCTCGTTTTTTATTTTTATGTTATGAAGCGCCCTGTGATCTTTGGGTGAAGGGCAGTATACAAATTTAATAAATAATGATATTTTGATTGCACCAATAATACCCAGCATTTTGAATGGTGTAATTATTGGCACCTGATTTTTATTTTTTGTTATTATTTTTCGGTGGTACTCTCCCCGGTATATTTCTCATTCTTTTCCGTTCTGTTTTTGTTCACTTGTTTTAAATCCAGTTCATAGCATGTTAGTGGGATAGTCACACGTCTGGGAGCCAAACGACAGTGAAATATACTCAGAGTCGAGAGTGGATTTCATGCTCTTTATTCAGCTCATAGTGGTGAGGAGGAATGGAAGTTCCCCCAAAATGTCTGCTTTATATACATTATCTACACAATGGGCCCCACGTGATTAGCTAATTCCGGGATTCTCCTGTAGGCCAATCAGGTTGCGTATTCACTTCCACCTGGAGCTGGATTGGGTGGCTCCTGTGGACCAATGAGACTGCTGCATTCTGGGTCCTACTGTTCTAGGACCAATCAGACTGCTGCATTTTGGATCCTGTTCAACTCAATACAAAGCAGACAGGTTATGTGTGGGAGATCTATGCTCCTTATCTCCTAACAAGTTGGTTTTGCTTCAAAGCAAACAGAGGGAACACCCCCATTTGATCAGAGCAGCAATGCTAGGAATGCTTTTGTGGTGGGACTCCAGAAATTGCTGGAGAAAAATCTCTCATCCAGCAAGGACATGGGTAGGCAAACTAAGGCCCGGGGTCTGGATCCAGCCCAATCGCCTTCTAAATCCAGCCCGCAGACGGTCTGGATTTCAGCGTGTTTTTACATGAGTAGAATGTGTCCTTTTATTTCAAATGCATCTCTGGGTTATTTGTGGGACATAGGAATTTGTTCATATATTTTTTTCAAAATATAGTCCGGCCCCCCACAAGGTCTGAGGGACAGTGGACCGGCCCCCTGCTGAAAAAGTTTGCTGACCCCTGAGCAAGGACCTCTTTACCGCAGGAGTTCTGGGACAGCCATTTCTCTGGACCCAGTCTCTTCTAACTCCTTCGGTGAACTTTCATTGGAAGAAAGCGATCCCTTCATTAGCCTGCATGGGAAGGGGAAGACTGCATCCCTAGGAAAAACAATGGGAGGCAAATGTCACACATGCACATGAACAAAGTCCCTTGGGCTAACAGAGTTCTTGCAAGCAGGGTGAAATTTCTCCCCTCCCGGGCATTTCTTGCGATCTTCATTATTCCTCCACCTATGAAAGTCAGCAGAGAATTTGCCCTTTCCATTAATGTGCATTAACTGTTGGCACAGGTGGGAAGCTGTACAGTGGTCATAGCTGTCAACTTACAGATTTGAAAATAAGGGACCAGCAGCCTCGAAAATAAGGGATCAGCAGCCAAAATAAGGGATCAACAATTACTTTGATAAAATACATATTTTGTTGCATGCAAATGGCTTTAGATATCTATTAGGTCCATAAATTACCAAATAGCATATATTCAACACAAAAAAAGCAACAATTTGTTGTTGACAAAGCACAGCTGGACATAGAAAGGGCCCCATTACCTTCAGTAGCTTATTTAAGGGACATCTTCAATAAGGGACAGCAGCAGGACATGGCGCTGGGATAAGAGACTGTCCCACCAAATAAGGGACGCTTGACAGCTATGACAGTGGTACCTCGGGTTACAGACGCTTCAGGTTACAGACTCCGCTAACCCAGAAATAGTGCTTCGGGTTAAGAACTTTGCTTCAGGATGAGAACAGAAATTGTGTTCCGGCAGCGCGGTGGCAGTGGGAGGCCCCATTAGCTAAAGTGGTGCTTCAGGTTAAGAACGGACCACCGGAACGAATTAAGTACTTAATCCGAGGTACCACTGTACATGAATTTTAAAATAATATGACCACTCACCGTGTTGACCTTCCCACTTTTTACTGCACCTCACACAGGCATATAGCACAGAATGACATTATAAACAAAGGAAATACAGCATTGTGTTGCATACAGTAAGCCCCAATAGCAGCAAACCATGGTATACCTAAAAAATTTAGTTAAAACAATTATATACCATAATCTTTTTTTACATCCCTGTGGATATTTCTGTTTTCTTGTGATAACCATCCTGGCAGGTAACATTAAACAAAGCCTTCTTTTAAAATCAAAATCTTATTCATTTGGCTCACCCCATGTACCCACTAATGCTAATGAAATGAAGAAAAAAAAGGACTGAGGATAACAGAACCAATCTAAACCAGCTGCACTCAGCTTCCCAGAAGGAAAGAACCCAAACGTCAGAAACCTTCTGCCTGTTTCTTACACATAGAAAGAAGCCTTCCAGAACACTCTTGAACTAAGTCGAAGAGGAAAGATCAATACTTTCTGTACTAAAAATTGCAAACTGACAGCGCTGCTCCCTTCCCCTCCAGGCTTCTATTTAGGTACAGTACTTCCCCTGCCCCACTGCAGTGTTTTATTTGGAAGAAAAAAAACATTGCTGGTGACATGTTATCTGTTTATCGTCTACAGCTGCAGCATGAACATTAGGGTTCGTTTTATTTTTTAAAAAAGCAAGCATGACTCAACAGAATTGAGGCCCTGCACAGCTGTAGATAGCACACCGTCCTGAATGAGTTTGTTTACAAGGCCAGGCTCATATTCTGATTTCTGGAAAGTCAGTTTGCAAGTCAAACAGTTGCAAGTGGGACAGTTAGCCAAAAGTCCCCTGGTGGTTGCTCAGCACAAGATAACACCTTTGTGGGAATTAGGTCGTAACAATGTGCTTGCAGCTGGATTGATGGAGCATATTCCATCAGAATAGAGCATATAGTTCTGCACGGTGCACGATAAGGCTATGAATGGCTACTAGCCATAATGGCAATGTTCTTCCTCCACTGCCAGAGACTGTATGCTTCCGAATCTCAATTGCTGGAAACCGCTGGAGGGAGATAGCTGTTGCACTATAGCCCATGAACTGCCTGGATGCTAGTCTACACAGGCCATTGGCTTGGTCCAATAGGGCTCTTCTTTTGTGCTTATATAAAGTGAAAATAGATCACCTGAACAGTTCAAAGCACACTTCTTGCAAGACTAAATTGGAGAGTCCAGAGGGATTGCACCTGTTCTGTTATGTGCTGAAGTTCTCACCCTGGGCCAGCAGGGGGATACTGTAGATAGTTTTCACTCAGGTCCACATATGCAAATAAGGAATTGAAAGTGACGTTCAGTGATTGGATAGTTACAGAAAGTGGTTACTGTTGCTTTTGTAGTAGAGCTCTATATAAGCAGGTTGGCCGAACACTTCAGCCCAGTTCTGTTCTGGGCCTGTGAATAAACAAGAGCTGTTTGAAGAATCGCTGTGTCGTCTGATATGTTCACCCACAACTTAATATGTTCCCTGATTCCAACCTCTGTGTGTTCATCTAATGGTGCTTCAATACAGGTAAATAGATGAGAAGCCGCATCAGCCCAATACATTTTTAGCACCTGAGGCAAAATAGTACCTCCGCACTAAGGAAGAAGGGATGAGTGAAGAAGTACGTCAAGAACCAGAGGGAAATCGTATTTCTGTGAGGGGGAAAGGGGTCTCCTTACAACTCTCTTAACAAGCCACAGTTCCTAGGATTATTTTGGGGGAGTTGTGACTCTTAAAAGTGGTATGCTTTAAACGTATGATGCAGCTGAGCCCTGTACAAAAAGTCTAAAATTACCTGAATGCACCAATGTGGCTAGTTCTGTTCTTAGAACATGTTAAGACAGGAATGGACCACGTGGTGCCCTCCGTATGTTGCTGCACTACAAATTCCATCAGTCGTGGATGGTAGGAGCTGTGTCATGACCGCTGAATCCAGAAGCTGCAGAGGCAGGAGACGGACCAAATTCAGGGTTGTGGACCTGAAGCTGTCAGGCAGGAGCCCATAGACAGAGATGGTCTTAGGGTATTGCGACCGGTTCCACCACACTGGGCACCACCATACTGCAAGGGCGCCAGAACAGTGCTGTTGAGAGTGCGAGAGGCAGGAGGCGAATTTTAGCGTCGCACGGGGCGCTGCTGAAATCTGAGAGCCTAAAGTTTGCCACTGCTCTGCAGTGTCTGATCTTCTTATATATTTAGGTTTTATTAGTTTCCAAATTTTAACAAATCGATCTAAATTATTTAACATTTTATACAATTTTTTTAAGTAATTAGGTTTCCCGCTCCTGTTACAAACATGTATGTCCATCTCTTCCTGTTGCTGCCCCATTCGTTTTTTCTTAAAATCCACTAAAAATATTCACCAGCTGTAAACTGTTCTCGTAGCTGCCCAGTATGTCTTCTT